ATGGTTTCATGTAATTACCACTTTTTTTTATCCTCCTTGCGTTTTAAAATTTTTGACACTCACGTCCCAAACATATACCATTAGGTACTCGGTCTTTTTGGGTGGATTCCATCTAAAATGGCCGTTAGTTATGCGCATAGACTTCATATATTTTTTTAACTTATTTTACTTTAGGTTTGATACATATGCCCCTGCAATAAAAAGAAATGTGAAGTCCACACGCAAAATAAAAGGCCATTTTGATCCCATCCGTTCAAAAGTGACGCCGAATGTCATATGTTGGGGTCGTCAGTGCCAAAACTTAAGATTTGGGATCAAATGCAAGAAGGGCAAAGATTTGGAACCATTTACATCAACTATTAAAATTGTCATACTTCGCTTGTTCAAGTAGCAAGTTCATCCTTGGCCCATTTAAAAAGAAGTTACAATCAAAAGAAAATTATTCAAATCTCCATTAAATAAAATCCTCACTTGTCTAATTTAATGAAATTAAATGTTACCGACTCCCTATTGTTGGAGACTTCTGGTGCATCATAATAAATGGTTGGAGGATTAACTCGTCCATTTTTAAAGCTCGGAGATGAACAAGTTGATCGAACAATTAACTATAAAGTTTAAATACTCCCATAATTTTGTTCTGAAAAGTTAATTATCTTTTAAGTAAAGTGCAAAGAACCTTATTCAAACTTTTTCGTAATTGTAATGCTATCCATCTAGATAATTGATTGCGCGCAATCTAAATGTCATTTAAATGCCACAAGTGATTGAACCTCTTAAATATAAGAACACAAACTCTTAAATATAAGAATACAAGTACCACTAAACAGACATCTAGACTAATAAATAACATTACCCTTGGTGCACTACCAGTTAAATATGTTTGAATACGTGCAGTTTTACTGATTTTTAAATCTAGTAGTCCTGGAAGAATCCAACAGGTTAAAACGAGACTGGAATCGCGTGAAGTGGTGGCAGATTCTTGAACCAAATTTGAACACATTTCAACTCTCCATGAAAAGAAAGCAGCAAAAGCAAGCAACGATAAACAGAGTAACTCCACCTAATTCAAATATCAAGTTACATGATCAAAGAGACGACATCTAGTATAATGTTTCGTAAAGATCCAATTATTCACCAGAGAATTTTGATAGACAACCATGGTGGAGTAAAGTAAGTTCCAAAACATTCAAACAAATGAAGACTATCAGCTTCCAATATTGAGAATCTCAATAGGCTCAAGTTCAGTCATCTTCTCTCTCGGGAGGAAGACCACAGGGCAAAAGCATTTTCTGCACATGCATCAAAACGAGACCAGGAAACATCAGTACTCAGTATTTTGACAACCATTAGCTAATATCTAAATGTCAAAAGAAAAATATAAAATTACAAGGTTCTGGGAAAACCTATAAGCTGCTACAAAATTTTAATTCATAGGTCATCTCCAATATAGGTTACACATTAGATGTCATCACAGGCATGGAAAGTTACGTGTATTATCTTCACAGTGTCACTAGTTATATAGCAATCAGTCTCAAAAATTCCATGTCTTGAGCAGCATATCATGTTTTTTACAAAAATATTTCATGTAAATGACAATTACTTAGCAAAGTTTAAATTACTGTTACGTAAATAATGGCAGGGGAAAGAGTAGTAGAACAACCAGGAAAATAAAAAAGAAATCAAAGGAAGAAGAAGGAAGCTCCAATGGATTTACCTAACTTTTAAAATCACAACGGTGTCGTATGGCTTAAGTGGAACGATGTCGTTTTGGCTTCAATAATTGAATTAGTTAGAAAATGTTTCTTTTACTGTTATTTTGAGAAACACGACTTCAAATGTGTTTATATATACACATCCATGAGCGAAGGATGAAGGGTCTCTGAAATTTGCAATTCAGTTATTAGTGGATTGATTTATCAATTCATCTCTCCCTTCAATTCTCTTTGATTTGGTCATTTACCCCTTCCCCAATTCTGTTTTTCATTAATTTAGTTACAATTCAGCTGCATTCAGCTCAAAAAAATTTCACTGTTAAGTTGCGAAGGAGGAAAAGCTACAGCTGAGGTCCAATCCTTTACAAATTGGTATTAGAGCAAGCATATTATACTGGGCAATTTGCTAATCATGAATACAAGAGCCAATGTTGTAGATGAACACTTGAAGAAATTGGATCTAGAGATGGCTGACTTAAGTACAACTTTTGAGGCTGTTAGTCTGTTACCAGCAAATTAGAGCTCTGATGCTCGGACTCTTCGAAATGGACGAAGTAACCCGTGTTGACAAGACATGACATGACATGACACGACATGAATATAGGTATGAGATATGCATCGGATTCTCCAAGTTCAACCGAACACTCCGCCATTTATGTTTCCTTTTTTTCTCTCTCTTTTCCCTTTTCTTTCCTTTTTCTTCTTTTTCATTTATGCTCTTTGTAAACCTAGCGCTGCCGTTAAGAGGTAGAGGAAGGCAGCGGCACTAGATTTTCCCTTCTTTTTCTTCTCTCTTTTCTTTCCTTCTTTCCCTCTCTGTATCGATGGTTTAGGGTTTTCTTTTTATAAAATGAAAATATGTTATTTTTATTTCATTCTCTCTCTGTATCAATGGTTTAGAGTGGGTTTTCTTTGTATATAAAATGAAAATATGTTCCATATAGTGCTACTTAGTGTTCCACTAAGTCCAAATTGAAATCAAATCCCTCATTTTCTATTTTATATAACATGTATTAATTAACTTCCAATAATTGAAAACTAAACTTCAAAATTCTGTTTTATTCGTCTTAACCTCTTCAATATTCATTTTCTTCTTTGTGAACAATTGATTTTGGTTTATTTAAGATAACATCTTGAGTTAGTAAAAAAAATTGAAGTTAAAATGTACTCGCTGTTGACCTATGTTTTGATTATAACAAACAACTTATGTTTATCTCTAACTTAATTCTTAAATTGACATGTTTGCGAATTGAGTCAAAGCCATCGAACAAAATATTATCAATCAAGGAAGCTCAAACGAAGATTGATCGAGCACTCATGAAGACAAGCTTTACGTCATTTCAAACTCGAGCCATATTGTCGAAGACTTTGTAACTAGATTTTCTCGAGTCGGTTGTAAAGGTAAATCACTTTAAATCCTAGCAATGACACTTCGAGCTCGAGTAATGGTTTTCTTGCACTCGACACAAAAATTTGCACAAAATCACTCTTCAAAAGAAAGTTTTTTTTCCAACATATTTCTTGAAAACAATCAAAACAAACTTTCATTGAAAAATCAGGGAAAAACATTATTATTTGCAAACAAAACAAAAAGAAAATGACCCAGAAACAATCTGGTCATCCAAACGTCCGGACGGCGAACCGGACGTCCGGTTCTCCATCAACGGTCACTTTTTTTACCGTTCTGACAAAGTGTTCCTGACGATAAGTTGGGTCATCCGATTCTAATCCGGACGTCCAGTTGGACAGAGACTTTGATTTTTTCAACTGCTATAAATACCAACTCACCTACCATTTGAAAAACAACTTTTGAGCATCAAATTTGATAAACCTTGAGCCTACATTGTCTTTACAAATCATTTATTATCAAATCACTTTACTCTTGAAAAATCTTCGATCAAAATTAATTCTTGAAAATCATTCTTACATCAAAGATTTACACATCAAACACTTGAGCTCCATTCATTGTTATTTATTAAAGTGATTGCCTACCTCTCTTCTTATACTTAACCTTGTACTCATCATTTATTAAGAAGAGAAGTTTTTCACTTGTAAACTCATTTTGTATTGAGGGTCGTGCTGAAGTCCCGAAAAGCTCAACGTTGTAAAATGATTGGTGCTCCTTGGTTGTAAGTCACCTAAAGCGTTGTAAAAACTTGGATTGCACCATAAGTCAATCCACATAGTGAAAAAGGCCTTGTTCGTGCCGGAGAGCTTGGTAACGGGGGACGTAGATCATTGTATTGGATCAACTTCTATAACATATCGTTTGCACTTTGCACTCTCTTTCCCTTTTACTTAACGCACTTCACGCAAATCTATATTGTTTCGCTTACGTGTTTATTTGTGCTTAGATTATTCTTATATCATTTGCGTGTTCATTATATTAAAAAGCATTCTTTATCCCTTTTACTTAACGCATTTACTTCGTGCAAATTTACATTGTTCCATTTACGTGTTTACTTGTATTTAGACCATTCTCTATCATTTGCGTGCTCACTTAATAAAATCTTGAGTGATTAACGAAAAAGTTTTAATAATCAATTCACCCCCCCCTCTTGGTTAGCCAATCTTGGGTTTTCACTCGCACCAGAAATTTGAACTCTTTTTAGCCCTATCCTTGTATCCTATATTTTAGAAAATAAAAAATCTGACACTTAGATACGTAACCGTACTCGATACCCATATCCGAGTTTGAGCATAATAGAATTAGAGAACAAGCTAGAATCCACGGATCAAACTCTCCAGGTATTTAGACTTGGAACATAGACAGGAAAAATTGAGGGTTTTGTGCTAGATATAAACCAAAAATATGAGAAATTAGCAGCCACGATGGCCTAGATGTCTTCAGATTTTAAAACTGAATAGAAGAATAAAGGAATAGAAGGATCTATGCATGGTATGAAAAAACCCTGCCGAGGCCCGCCTTGAGACCCGCCTCACTGTGAGGCGCAGCTTCTGCGCCTCGAGGCTCAATCTGTGAGGCACAAAAAATACAACTCACCTACCATTAGAAAAACAACTTTTGAGCATCAAATTTGATAAACCTTGAGCCTACATTGTCTTTACAAATCATTTATTATCAAATCACTATACTCTTGAAAAATCTTCGATCAAAACTAATTCTTGAAAATCATTCTTACATCAAAGATTTACACATCAAACACTTGAACTCCATTCATTGTTATTTATTAAAGTGATTGTCTACCTCTCTTCTTATACTTAACCTTGTACTCATCATTTATTAAGAAGAGAAGTTTTTCACTTGTAAACTCATTTTGTATTGAGGGTCGTGTTGAAGTCCCGGAAAGCTCAACGTTGTAAAATGATTGGTGCTCCTTGGTTGTAAGTCACCTAAAGCGTTGTAAAAACTTGGATTGCACCATAAGTCAATCAACATAGTGAAAAAGGCCTTGCTCGTGCCGGAGAGCTTGCTAACGGGGGACGTAGATCATTGTATTGGATCAAACTTCTATAACCTATCGTTTGCACTTTGCACTCTCTTTCCCTTTTACTTAACGCACTTCACGCAAATCTATATTGTTTCGCTTACGTGTTTATTTGTGCTTAGATTATTCTTATATCATTTGCGTGTTCATTATATTAAAAAGCATTCTTTATCCCTTTTACTTAACGCATTTACTTCGTGCAAATTTACATTGTTCCATTTACGTGTTTACTTGTATTTAGACCATTCTCTATCATTTGCGTGCTCACTTAATAAAATCTTGAGTGATTAACGAAAAAGTTTTAATAATCAATTCAACCCCCCTCTTGGTTAACCAATCTTGGGTTTTCACTCGCACCCGAAATTTGAACTCTTTTTAGCCCTATCCTTGTATCCTATATTTTAGAAAATAAAAAATCTGACACTTAGATACGTAACCGTACTCGATACCCATATCCGAGTTTGAGCATCATAGAATTAGAGAACAAGCTACAATCCACGGATCAAACTCTCCAGGTATTTAGACTTGGAACATAGACAGGAAAAATTGAGGGTTTTGTGCTAGATATAAACCAAAAATATGAGAAATTAGCAGCCATGATGGCCTAGATGTCTTCAGATTTTAAAACTGAATAGAAGAATAAAAGAATAGAAGGATCTATGGTCAACTTAAGGTCTAGGAGTAGGATATTTACACCACGAGCTAGTAGTAATTAGAATGGTGTTCACAATATAGGTAAGTTGAAGGGAAATAATAGGCTACCTAAAAGCGATTTCCCACATTTTGGGGGAGAAGGTCCTCGGGAATGGTTAAGGAAAGCTAGGAAATACTTCCAACTACACTAAATACCTGATGAGCTTAGAGTGGGAGTTGCAGAAATGCATTTGAAAGGAAAGGCTGACATTTGGTTTGATGGGTTTATTGCAAACCAACCTGGAGCTAATTGGAACTTATTTTCCGAGGTGCTTTGCAGGAGGTTTGCAAAGACTATTGGAGAAGAAGTAGGGGACATCTTCAGCAAGATCAAACAACTTGGATCCATAGATGAATACTAGGAGAAGTTTGAAGAGCTAAAATCACGAGTGATGTTAGCCCTGCCTCGTGTTCCAGAATCTTTCTATATTGCGGTGTTCACTGGTGGCTTGAAAGTTGAAATTAGATACATGGTTAAGATGATGAAACTAAATACCTTAGCTAAGGTATTTGAGGTGGCTAGAGTGTAGGAATCCACCATCCAAGCCATCTAAAGACCAAAGGGTTTTTCATCAAATAAATGGAACCCCCATCTCCCCAAACCACCTAAAAGAAACCAAAGCTAAAGAACCCTTGCTAAAAACTAGTAAACCAGAACGCAACTACAAAAGCATTACCCCTGCTAATTTCCAAACCAAAAGGAACTTGGGACTATTACAAGTGTGATGAGACGTACACCATTGGCTATGTATGCAAGAATAGATCCCTAAACTTTATTTTGGTATATGACGTTGAGGAAAATGAACTTAAGGATGAGGAGGATTTCGAATCAAAAGGAGAGGAGGTGATGGAAATTTCTATCAATGCCTTAGCTCGGAATTCAAGGCATAAAACCATAAGGGTTCCTGAAACGATAAAAGGGAGGAAGATACTATTTTGATAGGTAGTGGAAGCACTCATAGTTTTATAGATGAAAGGCACAAAATTGAAACAATGCAGATGTGACCTAAACCTAAGAACATCAAGCAGTTGAGGGGGTTCCCAGGCCTTACAGGATACTACAAGAAGTTTGTTAGAAACTATGGGATCATAGCTACGCCTTTAATTGATCTTAAAAAGGACAGTTTCCAATGGTCGAATGCAACAGGCTCAGCCTTTGTGTTACTGAAAGAGGAATGAGTTTCACTCCGGTGCTAGCCCTACCTGATTTCAACCAGGCATTTACAATTGAAACCGATGCTTGGCAAAGGGGCATAAAGGTTGTACTGATGCAAGACGAGACCTTTAGCTTATTTTAGCAAAGCTGTGGGGGTCAAGAATATAGGATTATCCATTTATGAGAAAAGAGTTTTTGGCATTAGTAACTACGATAAGCAAGTGGAGGCGATAAGCAAGTGGAGGCACTACTTAGAAGGCCACCACTTCATCATAAAGACTAATCATTAGTCTCTCAAGTGCTTGCTTGAACAAAGGTACTATCTCTCTCCAATAAAGGTGGCTCACCAAGTTGCTGGGACTTAGCTATGATATTGTATACAAAATAGGAATGGACAACATTGTCGCAAATTCCCTCTCCATAAGAGATGACGGGAACTTGGAATGCTTGGGAATTGCAATGATAACCCCTACCTGGACTCGGGAAGGTTATGATAAGCTACCAAGGAGATAAAGAGGCCGAGGAGAAGATTCAGTCCCTGTTACTGCAACCTAATTTTGACCCTAACTTCACTTATAGCAATGGGTTATTGAAGCAAAACGGTAAGATTTATATTGGAGCAGGTCGAAACATCAGGTCAAAAGTGATTCAGAACATCCATATTTCACAAGAGAGAGGTCACTCAGGCATTCATAACAGTATATACAGAGCAAAGCAACAAATCCATTGATCGGGAATGAACCAAGATATTAAGGAGGTGTTGCAGTGTGAGGTGTGTCAAAGATGCAAAGGTGAGCATGTACCCTATCCTGGACTGCTACAGCCTTTACTTAAACCTCTCCATTCATGGAGTCAAATTGGCATGGACTTTATTGATGGACTTCCTATCTCAGGAGGTAAGAAAACCATTTTAGTAGTGGTGGACAAGTTCACAAAATATGGGCATTTTATAGCCCTTACACACCCATTTACAGCTTCATCAATAACAAAACTCTTCCTGGACAATATATACAAGCTCCATGGGAGGCCTCAAAGCAATATCTCTGATAGGGACAAGGTTTTTACTAGCAAGTTCAGGCAAGAATTGTTTAATCTATTGGGCACTAAACTTCATTTCAACTGTGCATATCACCCTCAAACAGATGAACAAACTAAGAGAGTCAACCAAAGCTTAGAAATGTATTTGAGATGCATGACTTATCAACAACCTAAGCAATGGGGAAGATGGTTAACCCTGGCTGAGTGGCAGTACAACACTACTTAACACACTATTATTAGAATGACTCCCTTCGAAGCTATATATGGAATTAAACCTCCCCAACTGGCATTAGGACCCTACCAGCAATCCAATGTAGCAGCAGTAGATGAATTAATGCAGGAGAGATACATGCTAGATCAACAGTTAGAGGAGAATCTATCACTGGTAAGGGCACGAATGAAACATCATGTTGATAGAAATCGAAGATAGAGGTCTTTTGAAGAGGGTGATTGGGTTTTCCTTAAGCTGCATCCTTACACTCAGCAATCAATGGAACATAGGCCCAACCATATGCTCAATGCTAAATATTTTGGTCCATACCAATTATTAAGAAAATTATAGCAGTAGCATATTAGTTGGCATTACCTAAAAGTTAAAAAAATTCATCCAATTTTCCACGTGACATTGTTGAAGAAGAAACTGAGGAATAATAACATGTCGGCACTGCAACTACCAGAGGGAAAATAGCCTTTGCAATCAAGTCATTAGCCCCTGAAATCGCAATGCAGAACAATGGCTCATCCACTGGTCGGATTTGCTACCAAAAAAGAGAGATGGGAAGATGCTGGTTGAATTAAAACCCAATTTTCTGTTTGTAGGTCTTGGGGACAAGATCAAGGTGAGAGGGAGGTTTGTTACGTAAGGAATGGTTGGGGAGAGAGGAGTAGAACAAGCAGGAAAATGAAGAAGAAGAAGAAGGAAGCTCCATCGGATTTACCTAACTTTTAAAATCAAAAAAGGTGTCGTATGGTTTAAGTGGAACGGTGTCGTTTTGGCTTTAGTAATTGAATTAGTTAGAAAACGTTTCTTTTACCGTTGATTTTGAGAAACATGACTTCAAATGTGTTTGTATTATTGTATATAAATACATCCATGTGCGAAGGATGAAAGATTTGTGAAATCTGCAATTAAGTTATTAGTACATTGATTTATCAATTCATCTTTCTCTCCTCGATTCTCCTTGATTTTGTCATTTACCCCTTTCCCCAATTCTTTTTTTCACTTATTTAGTTACAATTCAGCTGCCTTCAGCTGAACAAACTTCACTGCTGAGTTGTGGAAAAGGCAGAGCTGCGGCTGAGGTCCAAGCCATGACAATTACCAGCTTCACAAACAACATTATTTTCAATCCATATCCCTAAAAACTGACCAACTCCGGGAACAACTTAAACAGGAAGGAAGCAAAATTGTTACATTTGATGCATGCATAATGGTACAAAATTAGACAGCCAAAGGGAACACATCTTTGCATGAAGTGCTAAAAAAAGCCTAGCAGACTGATCCAATTCTATCTTTTCTATTTCACATAACTTGATTCAAGCAGAACAAAAATCCGAATCCAATCATAATCAACATCACCATGTCCCAACTACGGAACATCTGAAACATCAAAGGAATCTAGCCTTGTGTTTGTTTACGTGTAAATCTTGAATTGCCTTTTCCTAAATTCCAATTCAAATAATATCCAGGCAAGCAAACACAAATCCTCAGTTTTCAACAGAGTTCAGTATTCCACAACCTCAGTTTTCAACAGTGTCTAGTATTCCACATCCTCAGTTTTCAACAGTGTTTAGTATTCCATCTGTGATAGAACTAATGAAGAGAAAAAGTCTTTCCGCTAAAAGTTAAAAAAATCCCAAAACGTCCAAATATACAATGAATCTCAGAAACTACTAAATATAACAGATTGATTCTATTTCATAAAAGAAAAAGGATTTACCTTGCAAAAAAATCTCGTAAACAAGTAAACAAATATACTATAGTTTGTGAAAATTTGCAACTTTTCCACCATTCACAAGAGCAGCCACTTAGCTATTCTTGTCATACCATCAAAATCAGCATACAGAATAAAATTAGACAACAAACCAAGAAACAAGTGAATTCTACAAATAGCATACGGGAAAGCTGCAAGGAAACCTCTGAATCCACTAACGTTGTTTAGTCGAGACACAAGGTCATTAAGTAAATTTACTAAGGCGAAATATGGAACTAGAAATACAAAAGCACACAACTTAAATATGTGCAATTACAATCCTGATAGGATTATGCAAGCACATAAACGAAATGTAAAATTAGTAACCCCAGGGCATAATGGCCTATATAACACATGCAAACAAATACAATGAACAAAACTGCCAAAGCCCATAAAAAGAATTATCGAATAGGAAAACATAAAATTGTAAATGGCATTATAAAAACCCAAGGAAAAAATTAGCGAAAATATATCCAGGTTTAAGTTAAAAAATAGATACCTGCATGAAATTGTAGCGCTCCCTCCCAATTGATTCATTTTCTGCTACAGCAAAGTAGGCTAACATCGGATAATGCCCAACATACGAAGCGTAACTATCGCGTTGAATATTCACCGCCCACTCACTAAACATTGTTTTGCACCAAAAAGGGGGATCATAAGAACATTACCGAAAAATGTTTTACATATTTACTGATAAAAAGTAATTTCAGATTTTGAGAGGATACTAACAATCGATTCATGTCGGCGTGCCCTGTACCCACATATTTAGCTTGTAAATGCTCGAGCTGCGAGTTAATATTGAACCTGTCACTTGCCTGCATCCTCTCAGAAAGAGCAAAGAAGATTGATTTCAGTTCAGTAATACAATTTGCTGAAAAGAATTAGGGTTTTAGAGATTTACCTGCATTTTGAACTTGAGAGCGAAAGAGGCAGAAGCGTAATTGGGTACGTGGAGAGTAATCTCTTTAAAGCGTATGGGCTAATCATTGTATACGGGGAGAGTAATCTCCGTAGAGACTAGAGCGTATGGGCTAATGTAATGAATTAATAACTTACAAACTGCAAGGCAAAGTCGTCTGCTCTCGTAGCTCAGTTGGTTAGAGCACCCGTTTAGTAAGCGGGAGGTCTTGAGTTCGACTCTCAACGAGAGCAATTTTGATAGAATGATATATGTTTTTATTTTTCCTGAATTTTTGAAGAGTTAAGTTACTTGCCGGCCAAGAAAAAATATGTACATTTGTAAAATATTTTAGGGAAAATTGCAGTAGCGGTCCCTAATCTTTCAATTTTTATAGATTTTACTCTAACCTTTAATTCGTGACAATGAAGGTCCCTAACATTTCATAAATATGTACTTGGAGTCCAACTGAATGGAAACCATCCATTTGATAATTAATCAAGAAAAGTGAATTTTGACCAAATCGAAAGGGGGTAAAATGGTAAGTTTTATATTTAATCCCATAAAACTAAAAGAAAAGAAAAGAAAATTATTCATCAACTTCTTCCCCCCATCCACCCCACACACGGCCACGACCACAACTATCACTGTTTTCGCAAACCTTAACAAAGCTTTCCCATTGTAATTATTTCTGTTTGGGACTGCCACCACTACTGCAATTATCTCGTTTGGGATAAACGGGATCACCACCACGATCGCTACACCTTTCATCACATCAACAACCGATCTCAGCAAAACCAACAACCACCATCAAACCAAAACCAACCACCAAAATCTTGCATGCCCATTGAAAAGTAAAACATAATTAATGGTGCTCAAGCCCCCATTTAAAAAGGAATTGAGGAGTCAAACCGATGATGTTGTTGGTTGGAAAACGGGATGGTGTGGGAAAGAGAATAGGGGTAGGGTAGGGGCTTGAAGGAAAGAAACATTTTTTTTCTTTTTTATTTAATGTGAAAATTGTAAAGTTACTATTTATCTCCATTCAATTTGGTTAAAATTGGTCAAAAATTCACTTTTATTGATCAATTAAAGGTCAAATGGATGGTTTCCATCCAGTTGGACTCCAGGTGCATATTTATGAAATGTTTGAGATCTTCGCTAGCACAAATTGAAAGTTAAAGTAAAGTCTACAAAAATTAAAAAAGTTAGGGACCACTGCTACAATTCTCCCAATGTTTTATGTTTTCATTTTTCCTGAATAAGTAAAGAGTTAATTTACTTGCTAACCAGGAAAAAAAGCCAGTCCTCAATGGAAAAATAGAACTTGGCTATTGGATTATCGGACTTAAATACAAAAAAATATTACTACCGTAGTGATCATTATTTGAAAAAAAAATGAATAATGTATTGAAGATAATTAATTTTAACCACATATTTCATAAGTCCCACAACTTTTCAACTATACATTTTATTAATTTTTATGAAAATCTACTAAAAATCGAATTTTAATCTCCGCCAAATATAGGCTAAATATTGTCCAGATGTTGAATTTTATCGAGTACAAATGTTTTCTTGTCTTTCCTTTTACGACGGGTCTAGTTTCATTGTTGAATATTGAGTCTTCACTTGTTACTTTCAACACGTTTGTATGAGTTTAGAAGCTTATTATAAATGTTTTTTAGTGATCAAAATTTACTTTTAAAATTTAACTGATTTGAGTTTATAATTATCTAAGACAACCCAATAAGTTAAACCTTAAGATATGGCCCCAAGGCTCTGTAAAAACCCTTCTTGATTGCTTCCCTGTCTAAGAACATTTGAATATCACACAATCGTTGGCACCGTGGCCTTACTACTTAGACCACATTTGGCATATTATACTAGACACGACAAGTCAGTTCACTCAAGTCGAGTCCATCCAAATCCATAATACTAAATATGTAACGGACCGTCTCGAGAGTATAACAAGGAGAGAAACTTGACAAGTTCACAAACTACCAAATTTCAACCAAAAGCCTAATAGGATGTGTTTTATTGGAAAATTTTTCCTAGAAAATGACATTTTTCCTCACAAATTCCAACTTCTGAAATGTTTGATCGCCATTTTTTCAATGAAAAATATTTTTCAACCTTCAAAAATATGCTTAGTTTTCCTTGTTTTTGAGGGAACGCTTTCTTGGATTTTGGGGGGTAGGTTTTACTTTCCTCAAAATAAGAAAAACATTTTCTTTTCTAGGAAACATTTTCCATGCCAATCAAACACACCATGTAAATGAAGGAAATTAGTTCAAAACATATGAAATCACACTCCAACCAAACCGTTCCACAATAGACTGTCAAAACCTCTTTCAAACACAAATATCTGTGGTGTTTAAAATTGTGTTTGTTTCGGTTAATCTGTACTCAACTTACATGAGCAATGAATTACAGTATCTACAGCTGATGGGGGGAAAGAATTACATATCGACGACATCATGAAAGAAAAACAATTAAATATATACACTGACGATATGATTTGTACAAGCTCAAATAAGCCACATATACCTGCAAAACCACCTTTGCGCGAGCCGTTGCAAGTTAAGTACATGGAGATGACAAGAGCCTAACGAAACCTATTCATTTCAGAAGAACTTGATGCTTTGCTACAGTTGTTAAATACTATCATCAGATTTTAGAGGTTTATGATTCACCCGCTTTTAGGATCTTCCAATGTGGGAGGTAGCAGATTGAGAAAACTTCCTTGTGCAGGTTGAGCGGAAGTTGAATTCAATTCTTCATCTGTTACATGCAAAACGATGATATAAAAAACACTGCATACTCTGGAATTCAATATTGATTTTGTGTATATATTTAAGTTATTAAACAGGCATATGAATGTTCTCTATAAGAGGGAAATAGTATCCTACTGAAAAGGGACTTCACAGTAGGTCTCTTTGGTTTGGTGCTCTTCTTCTTCAATTGGGCTGAGAATAAAAAGAAAATCATTCATGGGCAGTCAAAAACTGTTAAATCTAGAATTGCAGAAGAAAATAGTTAAACTTGACATAAATGGAATATAATTAAATATATTATATTGCAATTAAAAGAAACACAAATATAAGAAACTAAGCTTATTCCCTATAAACATGGTGCAGCTACAAGAATCCTTTTTTCCTTCAATACAGAGCTACCCACTTTAAAATTTGTTAATTTTAGGGTAACACGTTCTATTAGGTTCTTGTTTTCCATGAATATTTTATTTATAGGTTTATGCAAGAAATGTTTCAACAAATTAAAACACCATTCTCTTAATTTGTCCATAATCACTTGTTGGCTTATAAACTCATTTCTTACTTCGTACATTTTAATGTGATCACATAACCGTCTAAACATATTCAGTACTGCCTCATTCACATTATGGACATTTGTGCTTTAATGATCCAACAATCAATGCTTGACGTCACAACTAGTCTAAAAACTATTCTATAGAACTTGCCTTTACTCAGAAGACATCTTTCAATTAAATAACATTCCTATAATATTTAGGTTACATCCTACTAAATCTATTTATATATCCACTTCAAATCCTTTTTTCTTTCTGATCAAACCTAAACGCCTAAAACAATCACTTCTGGGACAAGACAAGCCTCAATTTTTGACTCGCCAACAACCTTATTCCTGCTATGAGAGAATCTACATATTCTTTCAGTTAAAAGAAATGCAAATAAGAAACAAAAATAATATCACGATCCCTGTGTTGTGAAATGTGAAAATATAAAGGTACACAAGCTAATTTATCAAAGTAAGAACAGAATACCAATTCCAGGAACTTCATGATCATTCACGATTTCAAAGTTCTTATAGGTGTAACCCACAAAGTTCACGTCCTTGGAAGAGAGCATCTGCAGCCATAAAAGGATGTAAATAAATAAAAACTGATGACAACTTATAATACTGTAGCAAAAACCAATTAAACAATAAAAGACAATCTTCATTGATCACAATGGAAATGAAAATCACAAGTTATCATCTGTTCTAACATTCTAGGATCGACTAATTGGTAAACCTTTCCAACCAAAGCCAAAAAGCCGCAAGTATAAGTGGCTCAGGTGCAAATCACATGCCAGAACAGAGCAGTCACAATACTAATAATGGATAATTGTTTGTGCATCGCCACTCAGCAGCTTACCCACTCCTTTTTGGAGTGCTCTTCAGCTGTATCATACACCTTGACATAACAGTGGTATCCTAATTCATACCAAGGGCTGATGTGAGGGGGACTCCCCTAGGCTACAGAACGCCACCTCCCCCATCCCCCCAAAAAAAAAAAAAGTGGTCGGGTAATTTTTTTCATGTGGAATATTTTTTCAATATATATATTAGCCCAGACCAAAATATGATTTAGCCCATCACAATATAATATTCTAGCTCCACCCCTGATTCATACTATGATCATAATACCTAAATATTACCAAGATACACAGCAGAACAATATGTGCACTCTATTGCATCAGAAATGGTTTGCCATGTGGACAGGCACCATGGAGAATCCTAAATTATAGCTTGGAATGTTAAATGCAGTTTCATGTACCAACCTTCCTCCAGGGACCTGATTTTGTTGTCATTGGGACTTGATTGTCAGACTGCAAAAACATATTAGAAAATTAGGGTAATAAGAACAACAAAAGGGAATAAGCTAGACATGTGCATAACCATAAAGGGAGAAAACCTCATCAAACTTTTCAAAGTTTTGAGTATCCAACTCATCATTAACTTCTGGAATGAATGCAGCTTTCATTTGATACAACTTATCCCATTCAATGCCTTTGAACCATGGGTGAGCCTGGAAATATGGTGCAACAGGCAGTTCAAAGTTAGCTTGACATTACAAATCTACTAAAAAGATGCCAAAAAGACACTTCATAAAGCACCTTAATTTCATCAGCGCCTCTTGTTCCAAGCCTCTGCTCTACATTACATAAGAGCTTGCGGATAAGATCTTTTGCTTCTGGCGATATCTTTGCCTCTTCCGGAAATTTTAAATGAGTTCTCCAGTTTACTATCTGCACCAAAATAATAGGCGACTTTCTAAATCAAGACAGGAATTGGATTGAGAATCAAGTTACACCATATACAAGATCTACATGAAAAGGAGGATCACAACGTAATGGAGGCTATTATGGCAAGTCTAAGAAAAATTCAGTTATGATATTACAGTATTCTTCATACTCAGCATAACGAGCATGACTTAGAAAATTATATTATTTAATTTAAGCATAATAACATTTTTAAAATTATTACTTAATGGCAAGTAAAGACTACAAAAGCAAAATAAACATTGAGAGTAAAGATATACTGGTTTTCTATTATCACCATTTTGAGTTACACGTCAATTACATCCCAAGGCAATTACACATGTAAAAGAGAACACCATTATTACCTTTCTACACGTAGACAGAGGTTCCTCTGAATAGAAAGGTGGATATCCCACAAGCATTTCATACATGATAGCCCCGAGAGACCACCTGTGGCATATACACATGGTCCAGACAGTAACCATCCCATAAATAAATATATTCATTTCCAAATGAATTACAAAAAGGAATGCATTGGGAAAATACATACCAATCACATTCCATTCCATATCCTCTCTTAAGCAAAACTTCTGGAGCAATATAATCAGGTGTACCAACAGTCGAATAGGCCTACATAATTAGATACAGAAAGAGACCCAATATAATCACAATCAGACATAGTACTAAAGAACCCTCTTCCTCAAGAAAGAAAAAGGAGATGCGATTTACATCCTTGATAATTTTGTAAGCTAACTATTTACCCAGAATAGAAGATCAGAGTTACAGTTTCAAGTTTAGAGAACTAGAGGTGGAGGTAGGAAGCTTACAAGCATCCTTCTGTTCCTTTGCCAGTGCTGTAGTTGCTCCTGCTGAGTGCGCTTCGGTTTTGCAGGGCGCCCATCACTTTGAAGAGCCCCACTATAGTTATTTCCTACTGAAAAATCCTTTTCATTGATATTGCTGCAATCCAACGGTTTACATAATCCGAAATCTGACAATTTCATGTGTCCATTTCTATCCAGAAGCAAGTTATCAGGCTTGATATCTCTGCAAAAATTATAAGAAAAACAAGATTACCATGATAACGAGTCTAGAAGAGTCCCAGCAAACCAGTAGAATTAGTACCGACCTATGAATATAATTATGTTTGTGAATAGATTCAATAGCAAGTACAGTTTCTCCAACATAAAACCTGGCCTCGTCTTCAGTTAACGTATCCTTACGCATTAACAAAGTCATCATATCTCCACCAGGGAGATATTCCATTATTAGATAAAGATATTCCTCATCTTGGAAAGAACAATAGAGTTTGACAATGCAGTTGCTGCCAACTTCAGCCAGTAGATTCCTTTCTGCTTTGACATGCTCAACCTAGAGAAAGAAGGGAAAGATAGGAATAACCACAAATGGACAATAAAACAAACTCAACACAATTGTTCATTTCTTTGGCATGATAAATTAATTCTACCTGGCCCCTACGAAGCATTTCCGACTTCTTAAGCTTTTTCATGGCGTAAATATTCCCAGTTGACTTTTCTCGACAAATTCTAACCTGCATCATAGCAAGCCATTCAAGTTATCATATGAAAGCAAAAACTTCAGTAGTGACTGGAAATCAGCATCAGCAAAGTAGTATTACTACAATTTTTCTATTGCAAAAGATGATGTGAAAATAAGTTGCAATTTACAAACTAAGTGAAGTACAATTAGGGACTAATCATTAAATACATCCTCAAGTTAACTTGTCTCCACCAGAAGGGTGTAATTTCACCTGAGGAATGCTGAATTCTGCACTTGTTAATCATCTTCTGCCCAATGCAGGTTACCCCCATTCTAGGTTTCCATTGGGTTTACCTTGTTCAAAGGTAGACCCAATGGCATCAAGAAAAGGCAGTTGAGGATGAAGAACTCCAGATATGAAGAATATTCAATGCCCTTACTATGATGTACATCGCGAAATTCAATAATGTAAAGAAAGACCATGCATACCCAGCCTATTTCTAGATTTCTGCATAATAAATTATTTCCTTCATCCACAATTCAATACAGAAATCGAATATTCAGTGCTTTATGTATCATACACAAATAGAAAGGAGGATTTGTAGCCATAAACAAGTTGGAGCCAGGGGGAAGAGAGATGACCTCTCCAAATGCACCCTTTCCTATTACTGTTAATGGCTCAAAATCTTCAGCGCCCATTTTATGCCTTTGAAGGCGCATATATTCTGTTTCTTTTCTCTCCAAGTACTTCAATATGTTGTTTTGCTCTTCCTCAGAGACCTCAGAATCAGCCAGTTTCTTTTCAAGCATATTACGCCTGCAAGGAAACATGAGTTGTTACTATGAAATTCCCAGCACTGCGATTAAGATAAAGTCAGCAACTGTGTTACAATATAGTTGATAAGTGCATTTTATGTGCTTATCCGGGCTTCGATTCTTATTTATTTATTACTATATTGAGCGAATATCTATTTAATTTAGGTTAAATTGTGTTAATTGTAGGTAAAATCTAGATTGAACAAGCTTAAAAGAAATTGGATCGAAGCTGTACAAAATTGAAGAATCAAGTCTTGAAGTTGAGGACCTGCCATACAAATAAAGAGGATCTAAGATGCATAATAAATTAATGTGGAGCCCAAAGTGCACCAAACTGGAAGAAATTTCAGCTTTTGTTTATTTCCTAATTACACTCAAAATTCCACGTGGAAGATGATTTAGGACTTTTTTTTTTAGATTTATTATAGACTTCTATATATACTTTTCATGAATCTTTTTTATGGGACACAAAATTTTAGAGAGAAAAACACATAGAACATCTAGATCAAATAGCAAAAAGCTAAGATTTGAAAAAAAAAAGAGATTAAAGAAGATTTTTGGTATAAGATCCAAATTTTCCTTCATCAAGATTTCCAAACCCGATTATGAATTTTTTTTTTTTTTTATAACCGTGGATGTTTGAACCAGCTTGCCCGCACCTCGACTAATCCCATGGGGCCCTGAAGTTTACGACCGACCGATTATGAATTATATTCCTTTCTATTGTTTTTCTTTCATTAGTATGGGTAGCTAAGTCATTATTTAGGACAAATAATGTAATCTATATGTGACCATTTAATTTAATTTTCAAGATTCTAATAGTTAAATTTACATACTTTGATTTTATTTATGAAATGTAATGCTTCGTATTAAATAATTCAACGATATATGAATTTGTAACAAATCGAGAGGTAAACTAGAAATTTAAACCACATGATAAAATTCGGTAAATTGGATAAAACGTGTAGAGATATCTTTTATGGTTATTGTGGTCGTTGCATGGGTTTTTAGAGATATTAATGCATGCAATTGAACTAATCCGAATTCATATAGAGGTGGTGAAATGACTTAGTTGAATAGGATCAATTTGACTTGAGAAACGTAAATTGATTAAGTAAGAAGAATTCGATCGAACACTACAATAGTTATTAATCTTGATAAGAGAACTAAATGTGATCATCCATATTCATACTTTAAAACCCAAATTTGATTAATTGTGCGCCTTAGATAAATTTAATTTAATTAGAACAATATAGATAACTAAACAAAAACTATCTTCTTTGTTTTTTCGTCATTTAAAAGTTAGAAATAGTAAATTAAGTACTAAATAATGTCTTTGTGGGAATTATCTTCTGGACTCATAGTCCATTATATTACTTGTTACGATCCGTACACTTGCGGGATATAAAATCTACAACAATAGTGAATATAAAGGAAAAGAAAGGGGAAACAAGGGGAAAGTTTTTCTGTGTTTATTTCCATTTACCTGTAAGAAAGAGGAAGGGTATTAGAGAGGAGGATGGAATCACTAGAGAGACAATCACAATTTGAAGGATCAATCACTAATGACAAATCATACTGACCACAAATAGTTTTCATACTGACCACAAACCAAAGTTATAGTTTTGTCTCTTTTATTTTTTAGAAGTTTCTACAAAGTAAATCATTAGGAAATCATTAAATTAATCATTTTTATCCTTGAAAAAATATTGTTCTGCACACCAAAATGAAATAAAACCAAGGAGTAGCGTATCTGATGGAGAAAGAAATACAGTTTAGATAGGATTTTGAAAGAAAGTTTAATTTGAATTATGAGTGTTAAGATTAGATTATATTAGTTTTAATATTTTGATAAAGTTCTAGTTTATTAGAAGTTCTTTTGATTTTAGTTTTTTTGCACTATATATAGAGGGCTTATTCATCGTAACCTTAAATTCTTTTCATTTTTTGTTTGTTTTCAAATTATTATGTTCCTACATCAGTGTCGATATTCAATTTGACAGAAAAATATAACTAGAAATTTAGTTGCCGATCCAATATGATCTATTCACGTTAGCAGACTATTGGTTGATATAAATGCAGCTGAACCTAAAACATTACAGCTTTTGAGCTTGAGTCTGATATAGAGACTAAACACAAACCAGCACAAGGAGGTAGATAGCCTCAAGTGACAACAAAAGTAATTTTCCGAAGTTTAAGAAATTTTATGCAAAGTTTTTTATTCCTCACTCTCACTTGGCCAATTCACTTTAATTACCAAATACCAGCTTTTCAATTCAACACTGCTCCTCTTCTGCTGTCTTCTCTGAATTACAATATTTATCATCCACTCAACTGGCCAAACTTTTTTTATGACATCCAACATATAAATGAAGATTCCATTAAAGAGAGACTCCAGAAATATGGCCCCGTTTGGTGGGGATGAAAATCAGATTTTTAATAGATTTTAATAAAAGTTAATGAAATGTGTGGTTAAAAAGTTGTGGGACTTGTAAAATATGTGGTTAAAATTAATTGTTGATTTGATTTAGATTAAAATCTGAATTTTAATTGGTACCAAACAGGGGCATATACTCAAAATTTATCTTCTGTATTTTCACACAAATAACTAACAAAGAGCGATGGCAAATAACTAGTGAATTGTGTTTTTCACTTTGCTCTTGTTGACATTTAAGAAGATCGACATGTATATCCGAAAACATAAGCTTAAACATACAGTTCTTCATGATAACTTGGAGGAAGGGGTGATCAGAAGTTAAATCAATATTCGACAGCCCCACTATATGATGGTAGGAGATTATTGGCATTGTTAAAGTAAAAGAATTAGAAGACTTAACAATAGTGTTAGCCTATCCCACTATTTATAATAAGAGTTAGGAAAACCTTAGGAAACCCTAGGTATTACATAAAAGATCTAAATACCCTTTAACACTCCCCCTCAAGATGGAGCATATATATTGTGTGCTCCAAGCTTGTTACAAATGTACTTTATCCTTGAGCCCTCCAACGGTTTAGTAAATATATCAGCTAACCGATCAGCTGAATTTACATATTTAGTCTCAATTTGCTTCTACAACAATTTTTCTCGAATAAAGTGACAGTCAACTTCAATGTGCTTCGTTCTCTCATGGAAGACTGGATTGGATGCAATGTGAAGTGCTGCTTGATTATCACATACCAGTTCCATCGGTGAAGTGTGTTCAAATCCAAGTTCTTCGAACAAATGTTTCAACCATGTTAACTCACAAGTGGTATGCGCCATTGCCCTGTATTCCGATTCTGCACTCGACCGCGCCACTACCGTCTGCTTTTTACTCTTCCAAGAGACAAGGTTACCACCAACAAACACACAATACCCAGTAGTAGATTTCCTATCTAGGGGTGATCCAGCCCAGTCTGCATCTGTGTAGCCCTTTATTTGAGTATGTCCAAAATTTTGATATAGCAAACCACAACCAGGAGCGCCTTTCAGATATCGGAGAATACGAATCACTGCATCCCAGTGACAAATCATTGGACGACCCAAGAACTGACTAATAACACTAACAGCAAAGGAGATATCTGGTCT